ACCTTGTAAGTGGAGGGGGTCTACCTGGGGGGAGACTGGTACCAGGAAGAGAGGTGCGAGGGGGGCCAGGTGGGACGCGTGCGGGTGTAGCCCGTAGTAACAGACTCATCAAAGGTGACGTCCTGGGAGGAGAAGACGCGACGCGAGCACGGGTGGTAGAATAGCCACGGCAGGGCGTCGGTGGGGAAGCCAAGGAAGACGCAGCGGAGAGTGCGAGAGGAGAGCTTGCTTACTTTGGCATCGCGAACAAGGGAGAGCGCGCCCCAGACCCGAAACACCGACGCATTACCAACCTTCACTGTCCACCGGAGTGTGGGCGAGGTCTCTGGCTTAGAGACACGGGGCCAGAGGTTGAGCTGATGCGTAGCGTATCGGACCGCAAATGGCCACAGAAACTGGATCATGGGGAGCATCCGCATGGATCATGGAGGTATGAGCAACCTCCATGATCAAGCCAATGCGACACAAAGCAATCCCATTTTGCTAAGGATAGGCAGATGCCCTCGTCTCGACAGAACTCCGCAAGGAGGTTAGAAACGAACTCATCGCCCCTGTTAGAGTGCAAACACAGGACCGGAAAGTCCCGATGAAACCTCTCGCGCAGCTGGCGGCGAGTAGCACAGATCCAGGGGATCAAAACACCACTGATATCTGCCTTGCGCCGCAAGAGGAAGACAGTGGTGTAATGTGTGTAGTCATCAACAACCAGCAGGAAGTAGCGCTCCTGGTCCGTTCCACCGATGGGGGCCGAGCCCGAAACGTCCATGTGGAGAGTTTGTAGAGGAGCAGTGGTCGGAGGAAACTCGGAGGAGTGAGGAGCGGCGCGCTGCCGCCCTTCGACGTAGGGAAGGCACGGCGGTGCAGGCGAGCGCGGGAGGGAGGGCAGGGACCTGGGAAGGCCAGAGACAAGGAGACGGGAGTGCATGCTGCAGAGACGCGGCAGCGAGGGGTGACCTAGGCGGTGGTGCTAGAGAAGAGTCTGGTGAGAGAGTACCCGAGCCGAACAAGATGGTGCAAGCTGACCAGACGCAGACACCCAGCTCGACGCAGCCGATAGACCTGACTCAGCCACCTGTGCAGACGCAGTGGTCAGTGTGTACAGTTCGGACCCATGTTGAGGAGTGAACGTAGCAAGGTGACGACCAGTCCGTGAGCACTTGCAGATCGCCACACGCTGTCCACCAGGAATGAAGGTGTCAACCCATGCATCCTGAAGAATTGTGTTGCTCAACAAGTTCGTCAAGAACTCGGGGAGGTGGAGACCTGGAAGAGACCCGGAGGGGACTGCTGGACAAGGGAGGACAGTGGAGGCTTGTGCGACTACTACGCCCCCAGTAGGGTCAGCCAGTGAGATTGGTACCGGTGCAGCAAGTGGTGTGAATATGGTGCAGTCACGAAAAAAGCAACGTGACGCGCTTGAGTCAAGTGTGAAAGTGTGCAAGGCCTCAGCTGAGGCAGAACCTGTGGCAGTAGACGCACGAGCACCTAAAGCTGCAACAGACTCACTAGCACCTGGAGCGGCAGCAGACTCACTAGCACCTAGTGCGGCAGCAGAATCACTAGCACCTAGAGCAGCAGCCTCTACAGAACCAGGGACACATCGCTGAGAAAACAACTCACTAAGCAGCTACGGGGAGAAGGTCTCCTGCTGACTCTGCTGCCGCCGCTGTGCAAAACGCAGAAAATCAAAGCCTCCACCACCTGAACGGGCTCGCTGAATAATCCACTTGCGAAGCTGCTGCGGGGATAGCGTGTCCGGGAGAGGCAGTGGCTGCTGCTGTCCACCCTTAGCCGCTGCGACTACTATGATAGTGGCCATGACAGGCAGTGGCAGTCAGTAGCAGCGGCGAGAGGGCAATAGTAGTGACTGTTGAAGTGGCTATGGAGGTCAGTAGAGTACGTGGGCAGCAGGGCACATGCTAGCGCAGTAATAGCAGTAGTGCGAGCAGTGGCAGCACGAGCAGCAGTAGGACAGTGCGGCTCAGTAGGGGCAGGGCAGCGCGGCTCGGGCAGAGCGGCGCGGCTCGGGCTGGGCAGCACTGCTCGGCAGGGCACAGCACAGCAGTAGCAACGTGTGCAGCAGCAGCGCGCTGGGTAGCAGGGTTGCGGGGCGCGCTGGCGCGCGGGCGCGCTTCGCAGTGGGGTGCACTAGCGCGCTTAGCAGCGGGGCGCTCTGGGGCGCTTAGCAGCAGGGCGCTCTGGCGCGCTTAGCAGCGGGGTGCTCTGGCGCACTTGGCTGCGGGGCGCACTGGGGCGCTAGGCTGCGGGGCGCGCTGGCGCGCTTAGTAGCGGGGCGCGTTGGCGCGCTGGGCTGCGGGGCGTGCTGGGCTGCTGGGCTGCTTGCGGGCAGAAGGGGCGCGCAGGGCAGGGGCTGCTCGTGGGCAGTAGTGGCGCGCGGGGCAGGGGCTGCTCGCGGGCAGCAGGGGTGCTCGGAGCAGGGGCTGCTTGCGGGCAGCAAGGGCGCGCGTATGCAGGAATGGATGAACTGGTATGAATGAGTTGGGTACAAGTACTAACCCTAAAGTGTTGTTCCCCTTATAGGCTAACCCACTATAGCCTAAAGAGAACACAAGCATCTTGTTTGACAATCCTGTATGATTTCATAGTGCAAAAGTATTCACCCTAAACCTAAACACGTATATAACGTTTCATCTGAAACAGTCTCGATTTCTTTCCGACAAAATAGTCAGACCAGAGCACATCAGTGTGCAGACGCAGGCGCCGCGCCATCCTCACGTAAGTTTGTTGCCTTGACGAGCACCTAGAAGGGTGAAATGCAAAAATGCAACACAAAAAGGTCTGGACACCGTAAAGCCACGAGGAGGAAGATCATTGCAACGAATGTGCACACATTGAGTGTAGATGAAACGCATCATAATTTCTTAGGCAACGAACGGGAGAAACATGCCACTTCAGAACTACCTCGTTGATCCGAAAAAGACGAGCATTCTGCTCGCGTCGAATAGGTGCAACGCTTACGTCGGGCTGCAGGATCAATTCAGGGGAATAATAAATACACAAGGTCATCAATTTTGCATGTATTGGGGGGTGCTGCACTGAGAAAAAACACTGCAACGGCAGAGCAGTTTCAGCACCACAGATCTCATCCCACCTGGATGCTTGCCAAAGCCACTGCTGCCCGGGTCATTCTCGCCTGCAGCTTCTCTTCCTCTTTCTCCCAAACCCTTTCTCCTTCTGCGCTGCTGTCATTATTCTGCACCTCTGTGCCTTCTAGTGCAGCTTCTCCCAAGCCTTCAACCAGCCTCTGGAATGGTGTTCAAGGAGCGCAAATGTGTGAGTAAACTAGAAAAATGCAAGTAAAAGAGCCCTATGCATTCATCGAGGGCCATTGCATGGCAGGGCCTGCACGAGCACTAATAGCTGCCCTGGAAGCACGCAGAGTGAGCTGTGGAACGTACAGATGCTTGTGAGATTGGCGCTGCTGCTGTGTGCTGGGATGTCCGTGCGCTTGCTGCTGCCCGCCAGGCTCTTACATCCTCCTCCAGTTCATCTATCTTCACACAGCACAGCACAGCACATGTCCATTTCACATCAGCATCACGCGACTGTCACACCGTGGATGCGTAAGAATGCAGTAAAATGCCGGGTTCAAAACGAGGCAGGCGGAAACAAACAGAAGAACAAGGGCCACTCCCATGCATCCATTCATCTTTAGTACGATACTGATCCTGTGATTGGCCTACAGCCACACAGCTTTGCTCTTCCCGGCTCCCTAGCCGCCACCTATCGGACCTCTTTCGTGAGCAGCAGTGCTTGGCCGTACGGCGTCAATCGCGGATCACACCATCCAGGCGACCCCACGGCCTGGCCCTGCACAGCGTGCCCGCCCACCCCGCCATCCAATAATGCCCCTGCCGCTCCTGCTGTGTAGCCACACGGCACACCCATTCGACTCCCCTGCTCCATGTCAGCATTGCCCTCTCGCCTTTCGCCCCTTGTGCCCGCTGCTGCAGCTACAGCGCCCCTCCCGTTCTCCTGCCCTCCACTGCGCCCGCCACCGCAGCCACTTACATCCCCTGCTGCCGGGCCCACCACTGCAAGCCGCGCCTCTGCCGCCGCTGCTCGCTGCTGCCGCCGTTCCTCCTCCGTCGCCGCTCTGCCCGCCACCCTGCTACGCTGGCCCGCGCGGGGCTGGCCTCGAGGCACTGCAGGGAGGGGCAACACGGCCTCAATTGGGCATGCCGGGGGAAACGTTGTTCCAGCAAGCAACAACGCAGAAGTGGCGCGCACACGTTTCCCGATGGCGGGCTGAAAGCGAGTGACGGACAAGGACGCGAGGAGGACGGAGGGCCGCGAGGGGTGATGGGGTGGCACGGAGTGGGAAGTGCAGGGCGAGAGCGTGGAGGCGCAGGCAGCAGGCGGGCTGTCAACGCGAGCCACGCAAATGAGGCCCACGGGCGAGGCTCACCGTTTTTGCGCCGCATCGAGCGCAAGAGGTGCGCGGCAGCGAGGATGCTGGCGGAAGCGGCGACCATGAGCGCGACGGGCAAGCGACGCGGAGCCGCCTTGTCGTCGAACGCCGCCATCGACAGGACCGTGTGCGACGGAGGGGCACGCTGAGACCGTACTGCAGTGGCCACGCAGCACGATCGCACGGGCGCTAACAGCTCTGCAACACGCCACCTCTTTCCAAAACCTAGGCACGTGAAGGAGAGCTCTACGTGGGGCCTTGACCTTGAATTCCTTTTCTGATATCTGGCGTCACGATGAAGTTGAGGATGAAAATATATTATGATACAGATTGTTTCACAATACACGCTAAATTGCAATAAGTACACGAACAGCAATTTTGGGATGGGTTCACAGAAGTACGATATTTAATAACGCGTTTCGATACTAATGAACAGATTGTGGAGGTACAAACACACTTCACGTCGCAAGCAGGTGGGGTGGGCGAGCCCTATGTTTAGCTGCGCTGATCTGTTGGAGCGTGATCAGTTTCTTTCCACACCTCTTATGCATGCCCAACCACTGCACTCATGTCCAACCTCGCATCGCCTTCCATCCGCAAGCTCGCCGCCGCCACATGTCGGCCGGCCGCAGTGGCCGTGGGCACCCACTCACGACGTCTGCACTCTGCTCCCGTTCTTCCCACCTCGTCTTGCCCCGCCTTACCTCCTCCTCCTAACACATCTCGTTGCGCTGCTTCTTCCGCTTCCCGCACAAATGCATGCACTGCGCGCGCGCGTACCTCCCCGCTCGACTGCGCGCCCGCTGCCCTCCGGAGCGCTGCGCTGTCGCCCCTTGCATGGGGTGAGAAGGACGAGGGGGCGCGGCGGCAGCTGCGCGGTGGAGGGCGGATCGTCGAGTGGCGAGGAGCGGAGCAATGCGGGCGAGGGGACGGCGAGTGGCAGTGCGAGGTCGGGGCGGTTGGGAGAAGGAGGGCGCTGGCGGCAGGCGCAGGCGTGGCGGTGGGCGCGTGGGGCAGCGCGTGTGTAGCAGGCGGGCAACGCGAAGGTTTAGCGGAGGGGGTTTTGGGTCCGCTACCGGAGACGATTCATGCGAGCATCGACGCGCAGCGGATGGACCCGCACGGGCGAATCATCATTGTAGGCGATGTGCACGGTGCGTTGCTGCATGCGCGGCTCGGTTGCATGGTGCTGTGTGCGTGCAGCACACGTGTGAGGGGAACGTGAGAGGCGGCAGGGTGAGCAGGCGAGCGCGCACGGCGTGCACTGGGCATGGGTGCAGGGCGGGCGCTGCATGCTGCCCGTTCTGTGCCGCACTGATCTTCGCCGTTCCTCTGCTGTTATAGTGGCTCATGGATGGCAGCACGTGGCTGATGGGACGGCAGCAGGTCTTTTGCGTGATTGCAACATGTGATTCAGCTCCACACAACCCCATGAGCGAGTGTGTGCGTGCATGCGTGCATGTGAGCATGTGAGCAGGGTGCCATGCGGAGTTGGAGGCACTGATGGAGCGCTGTGAGCGCAAGGACGGGGACGTGGTGATACTGGTGGGGGACATGGTCAACAAGGTCAGCTGCCACGCCAAGCCACTCCACCCATCGTCACTCCGCGCTGCACAGTTCCTGCCCCAATTGTTCTTTCCCTCTGCTATCTCCGTGATTCGCCTTGTTCCCTGATCTTCATGTTGGGCCTTCAGGCCTTCACCCTCCTCTCCGCCCTCCTCTCCGCCCTCCTCTCCGCCCTCCTTTCCGCCCTCCTCTCCGCCCTCTCTCCGGCCTCCATGCGTCTCGTTCGCCTCCCTTGCTGCATGCGGTGGCGCCTCCCCCCTGTGTGTGCGTGCTGGCACAGGGGCCGGACTCGCATGCAGTGCTGCGCATGGCGCGCAGGATGGGCGCAGTGGCAGTGCGCGGCAACCACGATGACAAGGCGCTCGCCGTTGCTGCCGCCGCCGCCACTGGTGGGATGCGCACTCCCACACCACTGCTCCCACACCACTGCTCCCACACCACTGCTCCCACACCAATTCTCGCACAGCACCAACCCGCACGGCAATCCCTTGCACAACACGCCCTCGTATTCCCACAGCAATGAGGCAAACCGTTAGGGAACGTGACAACCCCTCCTTGGTGTGCCTTAGCATTGTGTCGCCCATGCTTGGTGTCTGCTAATGTGAACCATTTGAACAACATTTTTCACGAAAAGTGGCACATGTGTGGCTGTTATTGGCCGCGACATTCTAGTATTCTGGAGCCCCTGTGTATGGCATGCCATCCGTTGCCATGGCAGGCAAGTCGAAGCGGTGGCGCAACACCAAGTGGCCCAGTGACCTCTCGTCCACGGATCTTGACTGGCTCCTCTCGCTGCCCTTCTCCATCCGCATTCCCTCCCACAACTGCCTCGTTGTACGTCCTTTACCACATGCCATCCGCCCTCTTTCTACCACCGTCATATCAACACAGTCGGTGCTCCAATGTTGATGCGGCGGACACACTGGTGTACCTGCCATGTGGCTCTTGCACTATGTACTCCGCTATCATACATTGCTATCACTCTCTTCTCCTCTCCAACCCATCCGCTCTCCGGCTTGTGGTTGAGTTGTGTACTGTCGTGCTGTGTGCTGCGCAGGTGCACGCGGGCCTTGTGCCCGGCGTATCTCTGCACCGCCAGCACCTCTCCCATCTGCTCAACCTTCGCTTCATCCGCCGCGTGCCTCTCGCTCCCATTCCCCAGCACACCGCTCCCTGGGAGCCCACAGCCCGCACCCTCTCTGCACTCCTCGACTCTGGCAGCAGCAGCAGCAGCAGCAGCAGCGGTAGCAGCAGCAGCTGGAGCAGTGGCAGTGAGAGTGAGAGTGGCAGTGAGGGGGCGCATGGGTGGCGGTGGCGCATGGCGAACTGGGGGGCGCCACCATGTGCAGGGGGCATGGACTCAGGGCTCAGTGAGTGGGACGCACACGACTGGCTTGTGTCCGGGGGGGACAGCAGTAGCGGCGAGGGGGAGGAGGCCAATGGGTGGGCGCGGGGGTGGGGTTGGGAGGCGTGCAAGGCTGCAGATGAGGGCGCGGTGCTGTGGAGCCACGAGTGGCGCGGCAGGGAGCACGTGGTGTTCGGCCACGATGCCCTCAGGGGCCTGCAGAGGTCAGCCCTTGCTGTCCTTTCCAGGGTGCACGGAGGAAAGCGCATGTTCCCCTGTGAGTCAGTAGCAAAGCGAGAAACCTTAGGACGAGCGAGTTGCCGTGCTGGGCTCTTAACGTTGCACAGCACCTTCCTGTTCTGATTCTTCCTGCCTACCTGTGCTGTGTGCAGGACTCCCTGGGCGACAGGGCTTGACACGGGGTGTGTGTATGGGGGGCGCCTCACAGCGTGTGTGCTGCCGTCGCTTGCACAGCTGCAGCAGCTGACGCACGCGCGTGCAGCAGAGCAGCGCAAGGAGGGGCACAAAGGTGCAGTGCGCGTGTGGCCCATGCTGCAGATTGTGTCTGTGGCGGCGCAGAGGCAGTACGCCGTTCCCAAAGTCAAGGGGCGCAAATGACACCACGCACGCACGCTAGTACTGTACCATCCTTGCCACTCTGTCGAGTAGCAGTCACGATGTCGAGGGAAAGCCATTGCAGCCTTCACCAGCACACATCGAAGCAGGTTTTGTACGGGGTCGTTGGGATATTTTTCAGTGCTGCCCTGCAATACCGCACCACCAGGCTCTGGTAGTGGTCTTCACATATCAGTACCGTATCACCCCGGATAAAAGCGCAGGTGCGCTTATAATAAAACAGTGTTTTTTAGGGGGCGTCCGCTTCTAATTGAGTCATTTTTATAAGCACATGCGCTTATACAGTATAATGACATATACAAATTTATTATTTTAAGACACCAAATTGCATATTTCACTCTTGCCATTTCAACCGAGTCGAAACATTTCGCGTCACGAAACAGAATCGCGTGCAAGCGATTCTCTTCCAGCACACAGGCCAAGATGTGACACTTTGCAGTCATGCCAGCACATCCTGACTGCACGCGCAGCCAGTCAGGTTTTAGAGAGTCAAGCTTAGCGAAAATGAGATTGTACTCACTTCAAAAATGAAATTTGCTACCGTTTTGAACAGAACTTTTAATTTAAAATTGTACATGCGCTTATAATACCTACCAAGTTAAATTTTCGCAGGGGGTGCGCTTATAATTGAGGATCGGCCGTAAGCGCATTGCTCCAGATAAATGCGCATGCGCTTATCATAGGGTTTAGGGTTGTTGGAATAACCGAAAGGTTATATAAAGCATTCCCAAAAGCTGTTCCACTGTACCAGTACCGCAATAGCTCATTAGAGCATGCGGAATGTCGAGGGTCACCTGAAGGTCAACCATCTGAGGAAGTCAACGGTCGTGACCCTTGACGATCCAGTAACCGCACGAAAGTTAATTCACTGCAACATGGTAACTGTCGAGGATAGCAATAGTCACGGTTACTGTAGCTATGCAATACAGTTAATAAGGGAATGTACCCCTCAGAGTACATGGCTAGCTAGATTTCTATTTAATCTCTTGTACTCGTATCTTTCAATCATCTTGTTCTCTTTCAATTATTATTCAACAAGGTAACAACAGAGACTTCATTGTCTCCTCTCAGACTTAACAGATTCTATCCTATCTACTGGATCCTTGGTTATATCAGCATGGTATGAGAGCTAGAGTGGATTATAGGATCTGTCAAGTCCTCGTTCTTCTCAGAACAATCCCTTTACAAAGTTATTTATTACACCTCAAAGTTTGCAATACTATGGCTCCTGAAGGAAAAGCTACTGCAGACTCACCGGGCCCACCACCAGCAACGACTAACGCGCCATCAGCGGTGACCTCCGTCAGCGCCGCTGTCGTTGAGGAACTAGTCGCACGCATCAATGCCCTTGAAAGCCATCAAGCAATGAGCGTTGACGGCTCAAGCTATGCATGTGGCGTTGCTAGACTTCCTCTCCCTAGAGAAGACCGCCGCGTCAACTCCGATAGATCCTTCACCTTCAACAATCGTCACGGGTCAGCTCCTGCACAAGACAACCCACAGCGCTCATAGTCAGACATTGCTTCAATGCAAACCAAATTTGTATTGACTTCAAAATTGAAGACCTCAATTCCTTTCGACGGAAAGGATTTCTACACGTGGAGTTTCGAATTCGAGCTTCTCGCGACAACCGCTCAAATCTGGATGTACTACGACGGAAGCCTACCTTTACCCTCGGAAGGTACCATCCAGGAGAAGCATCAATACTATTACGAATCCCTCCTCGCGTACACCGCTCTCCTTCGCAATCTCTCACCTGAAGAGCAGCTCGGCATTCGCCCTTATAAGACGGAGTGGGCTCCCACGCAAGCCTCCTTGGAACACCTGCGCAACTCATACATGGCAACAGATCCAGTTACGATGAGCCGTCTACTCAGCCACCTGACTTCGGTTAAAATGAAGCAAGGGGAGAAAGCGGGACCGTATGTCAACCGGTGCCGCAATCTGCGTGACCAAGTCAAGAAATGCGGTGGGACTGTCCCCGACGACATGTTCATCTCGATGGTCATCTCTGGCCTCGGTCCCGACTGGCGACTATGCCAGTCACTCCTTCGCGCCCGAGCAACCATCTCAGAGTCAGCTCTGTGCGCCACGCTTCTTTCGGAGCAGAAGGAAATCGACCTGCACAACGAGAAGAATGTTAAACGGGAGAAATTAGCCTTCTACACAGGAGCGTCACAAAGGGAACAACGCGGAAAGAAGGGAGCTTTCTGCAAATACTGCAAGAAGTCTGGCCACTCTATCGACCAGTGCTACAAGCGTCAGGCCGCTGATGAGCGGCGCAACGCCTCCAACCAACAACCATCGATGCAGACAAAGCCCTCCGCCACTGTGGCGCCTCCTTCCGTCGCCAGCACTTCACAATCCCCTGCACTCATCACGGCGAAGGACAAAGAAAAAGGGACAATCATAAGCTGCATGGCTCGACGCAACATAGGGTCCCGTTACTCGGATCGAGTAACATTCACTCGCGACAATCCCATCAACCACGTTGCGCCCAGTCCAGACAATGACCCAACAGTTTTTACCTGGTCCTCTCGCCCCTCAGACATTCCTCCTGACTTCGAGCTCCCTCCCCCTACTACGGAATCGCCGCCGAGCATTTCTGCAAACAGATATTTTGCCCTCTCACCGTACACCGGCGACCTTGATCGCATCGTCACACCCAAGATTGCCAACCTCGCCCGCCAGCGCTACAAGGGTCTGGACACGTGGTACCTCGACAGTTGCTACGGACAACACATGGTGGGATCGTCAAAGTTCATCAACAACTCTCGATGTTGAGATACTAGCGTGACTTAGGAGCCATGGCTAGTGAGTGTCTTAGTAGCTTAGGTTTAGAGTTGAAGATGAATGTCGAGAGAATTGAAAAGGAGAATGAGGGGCTTCACTATAGCTTTGCAAGAACATATAGCAAAGGAACAAAGAAGGTGCACCACCAAACAAAGTTTATAATAACTACACTAACTACAGCTACAGGCAGTTACAGATATATTCTGACACTCCCCCATAACTGCCTGCAGCAGAAGCTAATGCAGAGACACCCCCTGAAGGGGTACACCAAGCGCAGCAGAAGGAGAGGGCAAGTGAGGAGGAGGGACTATATGAGGAGAAGCTGCTGGCAGGTGAAGCTGCTGGCTCCAAGGCGGCTGCTTCCTGGAACCTTCCTCAGTCCTCCAACTCCCCCTTCCAAACTCCTCGACAACCCTAGCACCTCTCCCCCAGCTCCCCCACACCCTCACACCCACCCCCCCAGCAGCAGTTGCAGCAGTGGGAGAGAAAGGACGAGGAGGGGAAGGGGATCACACACACCCATCAACCCCATACCCGCCACCCCCATAGCCTCTGTTCCACAGCTGCACGCGCACCAGGGAGACGAAGAAGGGGGAGGGGGAAGAGCAGGGGCAGCAGAGGCACGGGCAGCACAGGCACGAGCAGCAACGGGCGGCGACGGGCAGCACAGGCACGGGCAGCACAGGCACAGGCAGCAACAGGCAGCAACGGGCAGCACAGGCACGGGCAGCAACAGGCAGCAACAGGCAGCACAGGCACAGGCAGCAACGGGTGGCAACAGGCAGCACAGGCACGGGCAGCAACAGGCAGCACAGGCACTGGCAGCAACAGGCGGCAACAGGCAGCACAGGCACGGGCAGCAACGGGCGGCAACGGGCAGCACAGGCACGGGCAGCAACGGGCGGCAACGGGCAGCACAGGCACGGGCAGCAACGGGCGGCAACGGGCAGAACAGGCTCGGGCAACAACAGGCGGCAACGGGCAGCACAGGCACGGGCAGCAACGGGCGGCAACGGGCAGCACAGGCACAGGCAGCAACAGGCAGCAACAGGCAGCAACGTGCAGCACAGGCACGGGCAGCAACAGGCAGCAACGGGCAGCACAGGCACAGGCAGCAACGGGCGGCAACAGGCAGCACAGGCACAGGCAGCAACGGGCAGCACAGGCACAGGCAGCAACGGGCGGCAACAGGCAGCACAGGCACGGGCAGCAAAGGGCGGCAACGGGCAGCACAGGCACGGGCAGCAACGGGCGGCAACGGGCAGCACAGGCACGGGCAGCAACGGGCGGCAACAGGCAGCACAGGCACGGGCAGCAACGGGCGGCAACGGGCAGCACAGGCACGGGCAGCAACGGGCGGCAACGGGCAGCACAAGCACGGACAGCAACCGGCAGCAACGGGCAGCACAGGCACGGGCAGCAACAGGCAGCAACGGGCAGCACAGGCAGGCAGCCGTACCGATTCCAGGAGCGGCGGCGCATACAGCTGTGGGGTCGGCGCCGTGGGCTGCTGCTGGGGCGGCTCGCGGGGTCCAGGGGCGGCTGCTGAGGTCCAGGGGCGGCTGCACCAGGGGCGGCTGCTCCAGTGGCCAGGGGCGGCTGCTCCAGGGGCGGCTGCTCCAGGGGCGGCGTTGGTGCAAGGTAGGCCCGCGCGCGGCTGCAACGCTGGCGCGGGCACAGGTGAGGCAGAGGCGGTGGCCAGTGGGGAGGACGCTGCGACGAGCAGGGACGGCGCCCAAGGGGTGCCGCTACGAGCAGGGGCGACGCCCCAGGGGCGCCGCGACGAGCAAGGGCGGCGTCCAGGGGGCGCCGCGACGAGTAGTGGCGACGCCCCGCAGGTCCCGCAGGGGCGTCGCGACGAGCAAGGCGACGCCGTGCGGGTCCTGCAGGGGCGTCGCGACGAGCAGGAGCGGCGACGCCCGGGTCCCGCAGGTGCGTCGCGACGAGCAGGAGCGGCAGGCGGCGTGAGGGCAGGCCACACGCGGGGCAGGAAGACGCCGCGTGCCCAGGGCGCACGGCAGGCGCCCGCCGTGCGCCCCGAGCACACGGCGGGCAGAAAATCGCCGTGCGCCTACGCCGCGCGCCCGAGGCGCGCGGCAGGACAATAGGCAGCGGAAGCAGGAAGGCAGCAGGAAGGTACCTACTCTGAATACCATGTTGAGATACTAGCGTGACTTAGGAGCCATGGC